GCAACAGAGCGGCGGCAATCACAAGCTGCCACCGAAGCAGCTGGAGCACCTGCGCCACCTGCTCGGCAATGTGAGGGATGCCAAGAACCTGCAGATGATCGTGGAGAAGTTCAAGAATCTGGAGCAGTTCCACGAGCACTATGCCGCCCACTTGGCCAACAACAACACTGTGATTTCCCCCGAAGGTGAGAAGAAGTTCCGACGGGAATTTGAACAAAAAACTAGGGCTCAGATTGAAGTTTCCATTGAAGTACATCCTTATTGAATCCTAGAATGCATGTAGGAATTCCGTGGTATATTAAAATCCCTCATATTTAATGAAAAATACCTCTTTACCTTACGGCCTTAGCCGGAAAAGGCTTGCAATTGTTTGATTATAGATTTAATTAACACAAATTGCTGCCGGACACGTACATGCCAGGATAATCTCTCCATTTCACTTTTCCGCTGCACCGCCGCCAGTCCTTGAGTGTGTGCGTGTTCACAGAAATGTTTTCCGTGCATTAACATGCACATACAGCTGGAAATTTTAGAGAAAAATTATAAGCTAATTGCAAGAGCAAGTAATTAAGGGGATTTTCCTGCTGCCATACTGGCACCCCTAACCTGTCCTCGCCACTTGGCACAGTTTGTTTTAATTTCGTTAAAAATGCATAAAACCATCAGGCAACATGTTGCCTACTTTCCAGCATGCCGTCGTGACAACTGGCCATTATTAGGAGCAGCGGAGCCTGGGGGCCGGCAGGCGGCAAGCGGCAGACCGCAGGTTGCAATTACAGCTTTTAGCTCGTTAAAATCGCAAATAGAGTTGTGTGCATGTGTGTGAGCGGGGACTGGACTAAATTTTAATACTTTCGAAATTGCTGACAAATTTGCATAGAGTCGCAGTGGCAGTCGCAGCCGTGGCAGAGTTGTCGTGCACCTAATTGACTTTGGCAAACTGTTGGCAAACAGGCTTTTAATTCAGCATGTTTCCTTATTTTTTTTTTTCTGTACATACCCGCAGATAGTAACGACTTGCTGAAGGATAATGCCAGGAAGTTCGGATCGGGCGGTCAGACCCTGACGCCCCGACACACAATCGACGCCATTTTGGGCCTGAAGAATCGTAACGGAAACGGCAACACCAGAGCGGAAACGGTCAGCGACGGTAAGTCACAGAAACAGGACTGAGGATAATACCACAATACATTATCACGGGATCAGTGGGACCCGCCGTCATAAAGGCAAATCGATTTCTATTACCCGCTCGCGAGCGACAGAATCAACAAACACAATCGCGAAATTGTATTAGCCTTGGCTGGGTGGCTCATTTTATTGGTGGGGGTGGTGGTCGTTGTGGGCGGTGTGATGGATGGGCTGGGTTGGGTGGATGGCGTCGGGCTTGCACTTTGGCACCGCCTCGAGATGCACGACAGCTGATAAGCAATCAGTCAGCGGTAATCGTTCGGCGAAGAAAACGAAACGAAGCCGAAAGGAAGTCATAGATGGGATTAGGATCCTGGCTTCCGTTTTGGGCCAATTTAAAGTTCTATCGGTGCGGCGGGGAGTGACTGCTTTTGAAGGCTTTTTAACTGGATTATAGTGGCGAGTTTGGTGGTGCCATCTGGTGACGGCGCGGCGTCTCCCCCGCCCTGTGGGCTAGGGTGCCAAAAATAGTCTTCTGCACGTCATTTATAATTCATTTCGCTTCTGTTTTGATTGCCGGCAAGCGATTTTCGCCTTTCTCGACGTTTTCGTCTCCTTTTCAGTCTCTGCCCCCAGACACGCCCACTTCCCCTAGCCCTATACCCTAGGAACTTGCGAAAAATGGGTGGGAATTGATATTCCAACGATTATGGCTTGGCATAACTCTGGGTCCTTGGATGATCCTACCGGCGAGGTGAGATATTAAGGAGTTTCCGTTGCCATTTTGACTAAGGAGTCCTAGTTATGGAAGTAAGGATTTTCAAGGGAAAAATACATTATTATTATTTTTGTAGAACTTTTTATTAACTCTTTCAATGAAAATTAGTCTTAATACTCTTTGAAAAACATCCAACCCTTAAGATCTATAAATTAATACGTAAAAATATTTATAATTTTCTTTTTAATAACAAAATAATTAAATTACATTAAAGTGACACAATAAACGTTTAAAACAGACATCACAAGTAGAGACCAGTGTTGTAAGCCGCTTGATTCTCCCATCAACAACAGTGCTGTCAAAAGCATCCAGAGACAAATCAAAATGGCGATGGACGGAAGCGGCAACAACATCAACTCGAACTCAGGTTAAATGGCCGCAAATTAATTAGAAACAAGCCAGCTACATAGAGGGAGTGGGGGGGAGTGCAAGGCATGCTCACAGAGTTGCGCATTTAAGCCATAATTAAACTGGCGGCCAGACACAAGCCGTCAAAAAGCATTTAAACTGACAGCTAGCGGCGGCGGTGGCGTCAGAAAGAGATAGGGCGTGAGCCAAAGAGAGAGACAGAACGCTATTGGGGTTGGGGGACCGATTGAGATGTAAACAATCATTAAAAGCGCAGGAGGCACAAGTGCATTTTCCCGAGACATGGACGAGCTTGCTCTTCAGGCTTAAGATCAAGATATGGGGAAAAAAGAGTAAAAGCGGAACAAGTGCACTCTAAAAAATGATAAAGATTAATGAAAGTAAAGAATCTTCTAGAACCCCAATTAACTGATTGATTTCTTTCAGTGCAGGCCAAGATAGAGAGGCCTGAAGTGATCCCCGTCTACACGAGATCTGTTAAGCAGTTGACGCGGCATTAAAGTGAGCATTAAGTCGTCTTAATGATTTTAATGCGTGTCTGTGTCGGTGCGTTGGCGTCGTCTTATTAGCCGCCTTTGTCGCTTCTACCACTTTGTGTAAGCCCTCTCCCAGCACCACCCCCCCTCTCCAGTTTTGTGATTGACAGTTTTGTTTATGGCTTGTTTCGCTTTTTGATATGAATCCGATATCTCATCTCATCTGGCCAGCCGATCTTCCGGCGAATATGGAAAAAAGACCAGCCGAAATGTGCATTTCCTTTTGGCCCCTAGTGCCTACCTGTACTGCTGGCCATGACTCTTCAGAAACGTGGCGTTTTGTTGTTCGGCTAATAACATATCAATTAGGCCGCCTAATGGCCAAGTATTTGACCAACAATGGGAAACTGTCAAATCATGATTGGGATTAGAGAGGCGGCAGGGCGGCAGGAGGGCCCAGGAGTGACGCGATTAACGTCAATTTGTCTATCACAAGCCGGGTTCTGGGAAAGAGTGGGGCTAACTAGAGCAAAATAAAAGTCAGGTTCATCTCGGGGAATCCAACCACGTGCTGCCCTCGTTTGAACCACTTAGCATTTTTGAGCATTTATAGACAACATCACATAATTTCAAAGACAATGTAATTTAGTTGCGTTAACAACCGACAAATTTCCAGCTGCCGACTTGAATTGCTGGGCCAGCTAATGGATAGTGTTCGGAGCACATTTCTTAATTGATAGTGCTCATATCACACTTGTTCACATCATTCACACTCTGGAAAATTGTATTCGAGTGTGAACCACCGCCCTTACATTCTAATAGTCCCCTTTCCTGGGGCGTCCTGGGAGGCAGAAAAACTTTTGTTTTAACCTTTTATTTTTCGCTGCTCACGCAATTAACTCACGCACTCCGTGTGGGCCTAAAAAAAATCAAAAAAAAAAAACAGGCAAAGGCAGGGAATGGGTGGTGCGGTGGCTACTGTCTCTCACCTCATGCGGCTCACATTCAAATAAAGCTATTAATTGCCAGGCTGGCTGGCATCTTTTGTGCTACTTCATTTGCAGAGGCAGGCAGAGGCTTTCAGAAAGTTTTTGTTGTTAATTTCATTAGCACCATTGGAGCAGACAGTGGCTCTAAATAAATCGCACGCTGGGCGTGTAAATTTCGATTGATTGGTGAAAACGCTTGAAGAGGTTAATTCGGGGCATTTACAGCTTGTAGTCGGCTGCTGTTTAAAGTTAATTAGCCAATATGTTGACCCAATTAATCGGGCTGAGGCGAATCGGAATGAAGCACATAATTACATTAGACAATCGACCGGAGTCGAAACTCCGCTCCGATTCCAACGGGCCTACATCAAAAAGCAATTATCCAAAAGACTATCAAATAATTACGGATATTTTGGAGTTGCAACTTCCCAGTCTGGTTGGGTAATTGGTTTTGTTTCGATTCAACGATTCGCCCCACCTCGAAAGCCAATTTAACATAGAAATTGAATTCGGTTACACAAAATCCAGCTAAAAGCCCACCAGCCACCTGCCACCAGCCAGAACCAGAACCGCAAAGAGCCACCCACTCGTTTTTAGACTAAAAGCTAAAACCAAAGGACTGGCACAACTAATGACTTCCTTGCATGTCACGTGATATGCACAAGCGCCAGTTGGAACGCCCATTAGGGACTGTAATACCGCCGCCTCATCTGAAACTTTCAGCCATCTGAGTTAACTGGGCCTTTGGCATTTCGACTCTGTTTTCTGGGAATTTTTATTGCCGCACATTGTAAATACGAGGCGGCTAATTGAAAGCCGTTTATTAGTGGGTGGGCGGCCAACAGGTTTGACCTGCAGCAGGTCGAAGGCTGTCGCCTGATGGCAGTCCTCCCCTTTGTCCCCACATCAACCACCAAATTAAATAACACGTTGTTATTAGCCAGGTTGGTTGGCGGTTGGCGGACTCTTAGCCGCCGAGTTAGCGAGCCAGCGAACGGCTTTATGACTTGTCTGCCCGCCTCATTGGGCATACTAATTAAAATCTAATCAGGCGGCCCAATGCGTGGGCGAACAGGGCCTAAATTATGATGTATTAGCGATTGATCAGGCCAATTAATTACAAGTTGAGTAATGTTGCCTTGATTACATGTATTTGGGGTGGATCTGAACCAAAGTGTTGGACAAACTATGGCCTTAAAAAGCCCTAATATTAAACAAGGATCTAACTCAAATACATACTTACATTCCTTTTCAGGCGATATTGACCCCTCGATGGGCGATGAAGATGCCACGGATCTTCGCTGCGGCATGACACTGACTCAACTGCGCAACATGGACAGCCACATGGCCAGCATGCTGCAGCAGCACGCCAAGAATGGAGGCAGTTTGCCCTATGGGCCTCCCACACCTCCAGGGGGACAGCACCCACCGGCGCCCTTGCATCATGGATCGCAGCAGATCGGAGCTCCGTCGGGGCATCCTGCCCATGCCGGGCACCCCAATCATCCGCCCCACCATGGCCACGCTCCCTTCGGGTACCACAACGCCTTCGCCTTCGGACAGGGACACGGGTACGGGCACCAGGAGGAGGCGGCGGGCAATTACCTCAACTCGATGCATCAGATGGTCGAGGCTAATCAACTGCAGTCGGCCGGGGGCTCTGCAACTGCCCAGCCTCCACTGCCCCTGCCGCCCAGCTCCTACGGCAGTCACCAGCAGCACTTGGCCGCCTTGGCTGCGCAGGCGCAGGAGCAGCAGAATCAGCACGGCAAATACGCCAAGTCATCGCCGATGAGTGCAATGGGAGGGGGAGCGGGAGCGGGATCGGGACCGGGCGTGGGGGCGAGTGCCGGTGCGGGTGGAGCGGGGAACGGGTCAGTTCCTTCATCGGGCGGGTACTTTGTGGACTCCCAGACGGCGCCTGGCTCGCAGTCGCAGATTGGCTACGACGAACGTTCAATGTCCTCCACCAGCGACTTGGAGGACGACGACGATGACACGACAAAGTTGCACCTCGACGTGACCTCGCCGCCCACCCCGTCGCCTCGCGGTCCACTGGCCCCCAAGCGCAAGTCCGCCGCCGGCGCCTTCTGTGATGATAATGAACCGAAATTAGCCAACGGCCAGTCGTCCCAGTTGGGAAATTACGGCATCCGAGCACGCAGCCTGGACGAGGTGCAGGCCCAGCAACACCAGCAGCAGCAGTCGCATCAGCATCAGCAGCAAGGCTATCAGAGCGAATACCGCAGCACCTCGAACGGAAATCCTAATGGGAATCCCGGAGATCATGGCGAGCGGATGAACGCCGACAATGACAGTTTGGTGAATGGCAGCTGTGCCTCCAGCGAGGATCTCAACCAGACGAACAGCAGCGAGCAGGGCGAGAAGATAACCTCCGGAAGCGATGATGAAGGTGAGATCAAAGGTCAACTTTAATAGTTTATAAGTAAAGACTTCGATAGATACCCGTTACTTAAACATGGCTATCCTCTTAACCTCCATTGACCCTTTAGGCCAGGACGATAACTGCGCCAAAAAGAAGCACCGACGCAACCGCACCACCTTCACCACTTACCAGCTACACGAGTTGGAAAGGGCTTTCGAGAAGTCGCACTACCCCGACGTCTACTCCCGCGAGGAGCTGGCCATGAAGGTGAACCTGCCCGAGGTCCGCGTCCAGGTGAGTCATCCACTTAGGCTCTACATATCTCTAGTATCTGCTGCCGGGAGTGATTTACACCTGAACCTCCGGCTAATTGTGCAATCAACGCCTCGAACAGAAGTCGCCGCCTCAGCCAGGCTCCGGAAATTAAATAATTTCCGTTTGCAATTTATTTTAACGAAATTAAGTTGTGCCAGCTGTTTATCGTGTAACTGCATGGGGCTAGATGTAAATAAACATTTTCAAATATCAGATACATAGATATCCTGGGCAGTGCAATGAAAATATTTAAAGAATAACTTAAATAGATGCTCTTACTTTTGGGGATTGTTTGATTTTATTTAGAATTCCAATTAAAATTAGCATACCATTTGAGGTTTTCTTACTTCACTTAAGGATTCATTTAAGGACGGTATGTTCCTGAGACCCCCGTAATAATATTTGTCAAACTTTGTGCATAACTTTCTTATAACAATTTATGTCTCAATAGCGAAATGACAACGCCGAAAGAGTTTCGAGTCTGGCCCGTAACCCATTCAATAAGTTATCCTTTGTTCTTCGGAGAGAATTATGCATTTTATGCGACTATGTGCCTTTTATGCTCGCCGTGCCACAGAGACACTAAAGTAGTGGCAGTGCGCCGGTGGCAGTGGCAGTGTGGCAGGATGCCATGTCTGGCAGCCATTCGTTTCGGGTGGCAAATTGTGACGTGAACGGGCAGGGCGCCTCGTAAATTCCATTCACAGCGGTGTAGCATAAAATATGCTTAAGCAGAGTCACAAAATATCGGTGGGATTGGTCTCAAAGGTTAAAAATGTGGACAAATTTTGATAAAAAATTGAATTCTCATCCATTAGCTTAGATCCAAAGTCTAGGTTAAGAAATAGTTTCCCTTCTAAGTTCCACTCTAAGATTGACATAGTTTCTCCTTTTTTCACCTCAAACTAAGGGCTTGGAGTTGGAGTTGGGGATCCCCAACCGGAACCCCCTCGTAAATGCAAAGGACATATCAAATTTCACGATTTCGTTTCGTTTCCTCAGCCGACAAATCATTTTTATTGACTAAACATTATCGTGCCCACAGAGTCAGAGTTTGGCGACACTGTCGTCGGCGTCTCCAACACAACACAGCACATAAATAAATAAACAAATACCGGAACGACTAGTGGAATATATATTTGTATATATTTATAGGTGTATCCTTTTGGCCCAGGCCAGGCCAGGCCATGCCGTATAAAGTATAAACGGAATACAAAAGTAATGAACCGAAATCGCATAAAAATTTCTCCTTCTGGGTTTTTTGGCCCTCATGTGTCACTTTGTCAAATTGACACGAATTCAAATTATGCCAGCAGGAACCGAAACGAGCTCTCCAACCCTTTGACTGGTTTTTTCGATTTAGTGGGTTGCACTATGCCCCCGACCTCTGACCCTCCATCCCCGACTGGTGCCCCTTTGTGCCCTTTCACCTTTCGCCCACCCTACTGCCACTCTCCCACCTCGTCTCTGTGTGTTTGTAATCGTATTTGCGGTTAGTTTGCATGAAGTTCTAGTTATCGTTTTTACTCAGTTTCCCCCCCAATTTTTCTTTTTTTTTGTATTTTTTCCTCTCCAGTTGGGCCTGGGAAATTGCTTGGTGTGCAACTCGTTGAAGGTGGAAATTTGTTTTGATTAAGTTTGCACAGACACACACCACACACACACACCATATAGGCTGACAAAAAAAAAATAGAATAGGAGAAATTGTAACCAAAGTTAACTGAGTTGTTTCTTTGGCAGAAAACCCAGTCGGCCATCCACCAAATAGAATTTCTCGTTTAGATGAGTTCATTGTGGGGCTCTCAGACCCGGTCGGCCACTTTTCGTCGGTTTCTTTTTCGGTTGGCTGTCATTGCATTGTAATAGATTTGTTAAATGTTTGTTTAAAAAGTTTGATTGGATTTTGCATTTTGTGTATGGCATCGGAATGAATTTCTCTGTGGCTTGTTTGATTGTTGTTTAAATGGCAGTATATGCACATTGACAGGCAAGAGCACAAACTATCCAAAACACAATTGAAATTGTGCCATTTTGTGGTTAGTCCATATCTGGCAAAAAGGACTTATCCCAAACCAAAAAAAACCGAAGCAGAGAAAAAAGGTAGCAACTGTTAAGCAAGGACTTGAGGCCTGGGATTATCGGCGATGGTAACCAAAACAAAACGCGTTAAGCTAGCAAATTAAACGGCGGATTAACGCCCAAAAAACACTGCCAGACGATCATTAACACTTGCCCGGGAAAGTGTATCGTTTCTTCCCCTAAAAGCCTGAGAGATACCCTGAGAGCCGGACCATATGTCCGGGGAGAGATGACAATTACTTTTGTTTGGATTACTGGCTGACAGACAGGCTCGAGTGAGGTATCTGGGAGGGTTGTCCGTGGCTCAGTCAAGGGTTAAAGCCGCCAGTCGACTCAATCATACGCCGCATTAGGCCCGGGGCCAAAAGAGTTTAATTAAAACTTAATTTGCCATGGCCAAGGCGCAGAAAATCGAAGGCAGAGTAGCAAAAAAATGATGTACGAGCGACAGGATAGATGGGATAGGAGACTGACTCATCCTGCATGTCTTGCTTTAGTTTGGGAAACAAACATGACTATTTCCATGTGAAACTGCCACTTTTATTGGGTTTATTAGCAGCAAAAATAAACAAACGAAACGAAACGAAAAGTTTGTGTCAATTATTTTGCATAGTCAAATGATTAAATATCGTAAACCTGTCAAAATATCCTCAGCCAAAGCAAATAATAATCCTGTGTAATAGTTTATTTATCTGTATATATATTGCTCATACGACATGTGTGCCGTGACACAGTCAGCCAGGGCAGGACAGGGCAGGGCAGGGCAGGAGCCGCGGGCCATTCGATATATTCGGCATTCTTTATCCTGTCTCTGTCTCCATCCACGTGTGCGTGGATGTGAATAAACAGCAAACAAATAAAAACGTCATTTCACTAACAAATAAAATAGATTTTTATTGCATTCCACTTTGCCATTGGATTTGAGCCTTAGCTTGAATTTGGATTCCTCCTTCCTAGATATTGCCACATTTTATGCTCATTTCTCCAGTGCATGGCTGTGTGTGTGTGCTCCGTTTTGGTTTCTGCTTCGATTATTTTTTATTGAATATTTACTTCAGCTTTGGCATTCGTTCGCTTGCATGACCGTTTTATCGACATCCAGAGCCCCCGCCCGTGTCCTTAGACTCCTTGCAACGCTTTCGTTTTCACATGCCATAATAATAATGCATATTAGGTTCATTTGTTTAGACCCGCACATGCCCCCAGCCCCGTGAAATCCTATACAAATCTAATAATGAAAACGATCGCTGGCTGGCTATCATCGGCTATCAAATAGGAGCCTTCAAATGTCCTGTGCGGGTCATCAAAAAACGGCAAAGTGGCAACCATTGAATGCATAACAAGCCAGGGCCCCAGTGGGTCCTGAAAAACGTTAAACGTTTGGCTACAGGACAAAAAGCTTTTCAACTTATTTAACCTATTGTCAGGACCTCGGGGACCTGCTCTCTTTGGGGAGTGACTGGTCCCCACTTTTTTAGGCCACTTATTAGTGGTAAAAGTGGGTCCTGATTTATGTCCGCTCCTCGATGTTTATTTGCATTTCAATCGTCCAAGTTGATGTAATTAAATGGAAAATGAAATATTAAGCTCACCGGAGCGACAGCTGCTCTCAAGTGCCAAGAGGGTGGGTGTGGGCCAAACAATTAACACATTATGCCACCTTGGCATAACAATAATAATAAAAAACAGTAAGCGCCGAGGCGGAGGAGGTCCTGGAACAAAGCCACCGCAAGGGTAAATAAATGTCAGGTCACAAAGGCGGTCAGACTTGACTCAAGTTTATAATATATTTAGACAGGGGTCTTTCGGGGCCTGTGTGGGTTGAACATCTGCCGTTTAATAAAATTTATTTTGATCAACTGTCAACAAGAACAATGACCTAAAAAAAGCTTAAGCACTTGACATGAAACGGCTAATTACAACGCGTTTGTAATTTTCAGGAGGATGGGAATGTTTTTTTTTTTGGTTTATACTATTTTTGGTTGTGGAACTTTCTCAATCTCTAATTGACAATAAACTTAGAAAGAAGACTCAAACAAGACAGCAAGGCAACTTGATTTCCACAGAAGTTTGCCGCTTTCAATTAACCCTCATTAGAAGCTTGCCGCATCACAAAAGAGGATTGGAAGCCTTTGCGATCGGGCCACGCCCACACCGAATCCGTGTCGCAATTAATTAAACTTGAAAACCAAAATTGAGGAGCACAGATAGAGTCCCAAAAAGACTGGAAGAAGGGAGCCAGGAGCCAGGGGCCAGGAGGATGACGACGCATTTGCCGCACAACTCAAAGGCATTCCTTGGCATTTGGCAGATAGTCTAAGGCCGGAGATGCCGAAGGATCTGCCAAAGGACCACATTGTCGGCATCGTTTGCGTTTGTTTGCAATGGCATCCAATTTCATTCTTTTATGCGACTTATTGAGTTTGCTCTGCGTCGCTCCATGTCCTCGTTCCACGTCCTGGTCTGGTCTTTTTGGTCTGATGATGTCCTTACCGAGTACCAGGCCCGTACCGAGTGCCATGCCAAAGGGTGTTGTGTCTCCCGCGTCTGAGCCGGAGGGCAGAATTTAAAGGCAGCCTACTATGGCGGCATCTTTCATGTGAGCTTGTGTTTGCTTACACATAGAAAAATAATTTACAATAATAAAAAGGTTCTTCCAAACTCATTGGTTAAATATCTGCAAGTGTACTCATGTTAAGCTCTGAAACGTGCCCTCGGGTTCCTGTTTTCCCTTCCTGAAACTCAGCTATGATTGCGCTTTTCTACTCCTCACCTGATGGCTAATAGACTCAGAAGGGCGTACACGTGCTCGGGATTTGCTCTAGTTTAGGCTCAGTTGTCTCTCAAATTCACCGTAACCTGTCAACACATTTCAATATAAATGCATAAATCAAACGGAA